GATACTAAATTGGATCTTTTTTTATTTTGTTAACTGTTGATTTTTATCAAAACTATGTCATTCTGTGATTCAAATATTTTCAAGCACATTTTTAGCAAATTTAAGCACTTTTTAAGCACTTTTCAAAAGTGTAATCAAATTCAAGGACTTTTAAGCACTTTTTTTACATTTTTAAGCACTTTTTAAGAAAGAGACTCAAATTTAAGCACTTTTTAAGACTGTACGAACCCTGTTGAACTAGAGTTATCACTAAAGATGATTAATACACCCACCAGCAACCTTGACATTTTGAAAAATAAGTGGGTCTGAAGCAAAATTTTAAATCAATCTATAATAAATTATAGATTGTGTTCAAATTTTGCTTCAGAAGTTTGAACTCACGGTGTACAAAGAATTATTTCAATTAATTACAATCCTAAACAGGGTCTTCATAAAAGCTTGCTTTATACTTAAGTTGATTACAATTTCTCACTCCCAACTCTCATTATTGTTTGAAAAACATTTTTCTATTTTCAGTAACACAGACCCTTGCAATGCCAAATGCAATCCTAGCGGCGTTTCACCTTAGGTTGCTAAATACCAAGATTGATTACAATAACTCATTCTTAACTAATTTTATCGTCCAAAAACCATTTTTCTATCTTTAGTAACAGTGACCTTGACCGCAGGGGGTCCAAAAGCAAACCCAACCAGTCTTCATATAAGCTTGCTATATACCAAGTTTGATTACAATAGGTCATTCCTAACTCCAGGAAACCATTTTTCTATTTTTAGTAACATTAACCTTGACCCTAGGGGGTCCATCAGCAATCCCAACAGGCTCTTCTTATAAGGTTGTTGCATAAAAAGTTTTGATAACAAAATCTCCTTCCTATTTTTTGATAGTGTCCGAAAACCATTTCTAAGTAACAGTGGTCTTGATACTAGAGGGTCAAAATGCTATCCCAACTGGGGTATTAAGATTAACTTGCTGTATACCAAGTTTGATAAAAAATATCTCATTCCTAGCTCTAGTTATTGTCAAGAAAGCATTTTTCTATTTCAAGTAATGGTAACCTTGACCGCAGGAGGTCCAAAAGCAATACTAACGAGAAGCCATCTCAGATGAGCTAATAAAAATTCCCAAACAGTGGGAAACTGAAATTATTTTATGCCATAACAAGATTACATTTGTGAAAAATGCTATGCAAGCACATTGATACAAAACTAAGTAGTAGGAACAGATATACAGATTTTTTTTTGTTTTTATACTATTAAACTTTCCCATAATGCATTAGTGTCTAGTGAATTTGGGGTCAAAGTCATATTTCAGCATGTCAAGGCCATAGTATAATAATTGATTCAAAATAAAAGTATTATTACTTGACAAAAATTTTGGTATTTTTCTTAAATACAATCTTTCAAATTAAATATTTCTGAAAACATTTACGATTAAAATCATTATATACATGGTGTGAATCATAATGTCCTTATATTATGCTCAAAATATTTCATAAATATCCCTGCAAAGCAAACATCTCTCTTGCTAGAGCAAACATCGATCCCCTTTGCTAGAGGTCATGACCTTTAGATTCACTCCAAGCTATTGAATCTTTCCTTAGAACAAGATTGCATTTGAGAAAAATGCTATGCCACCTCATTAATACAACACTAAATAATAGTGAAGGAACAGATTTTTTTTTGTTTCTATACAATTGAAGATTGTCATAATGCATAGATCCCTGACCTATCTAATTCTTATTATGAGAGTAGTGGTTAAATCTATTGTTAATCCAATAAAAGATCAGAGTAGGAATATATCAATGCACTTGAGTCTGGTGAATTTGGTGGTGAAGGTCGTATTTCACACAGCCTAAATTTCATGACTACATCAAAGGACAACACAGTAAGACACTATGTCAAAATCTAGGTCAGCTGATATCAAAGTTCACTTTACATCTTAATCTGTGCACATGGTTCAAATTTCATAGCTGTACATCAAAGAACAAGAAAGTAGGTCACATCATCAAAATCTAGGTCACCTGATATCAAAGTTTAATTTTACGACTTTAACTGTGCACATGGTCAAATTTTTATTGCTGTACATCAAAGGACAAGAAAGTAGGTCACTTTCCCCTTGGGCAAGGCAAAATTTTGACCCAAGGGTTTAATTCAAAACAATCTTGATACAGGTCCACCAAACAACATTTCATGTCAAATTTCTAAGCTGTAGCTTTCTCCCATTCGGAAAACATTTGTTTTATTTTCTGTTTTTACTGTTTTTATGTGTACATAATGAGAATCACTGCCCCCCGACAGGGCCAATTTTGACACCAAGGGAAAAATTTGAACAACTTTGGTAGAGGACCTATAGATGATATTATATAGCAAACATCAAAGCTATATGCCTTGTACCTTCAGACAAAAATATTTTTTATTTTTTTTTACTATAATTATGTACATAATGAAAATCAATGACCCCCGGGGTGGAACCAATTTTGACCCCAAGGCTATAATTTGAACAATCTTGGTAGAGGTTCACTTCGCAAAGTCTCATGCCATATATTTAACCTCTAGCCTTTGTCAATTCAGAGAAGAAGTTTTCAAGTTTTTACTTTATCCATATAAGAAAAACTATCGCCTCTTGGGCAGGGCAATTTTAACACTAGGGGCATAATTAAAACAACTTTAGTAGAGGACCTATAGATGATATTATATACCAAATACCAAAGCTCTAAGCCTTGTACCTTCAGACAAGAACTTTTTTTTTCAATATATGCACATAGTGAAAATCAATGACCCCTGGGGTGGGGCCAATTTTGACCCCAGGGCTATAATTTGTAAAATCTTGCTAGAGGTTCACTACACAATGTTTCATGCAAAATATCTTAACTCTAGCCTTTGTAAATTTATAGAAGATGATTTTTTAAGTTTTTACTATATACATATAAGGAAAACATATGGTAGGGGCGGGGCTAATTTTGACACTAGAGGCAAAATTTGAACAACTTTGGTAGAGTACCTATAGATGATATCATTTAACAAATATTAAAGCTCTAAGCCTTGTACCTTCAGACAATAAGATTTTGAACTGTATGTTTATATTGAAAATCAATGACCCCCGGGGCAGGGGCAATTTTGACCCCAGGGCTATAATTTGAACAATCTTGCTAGAGGTTCACTGCACAATGTTTCATGCAAAATATCTAACCTCTAGCATCTGTCAATTGCTAGAAATTTTTTTTTTTAAGTTTTTACTATAAGTTTTTACTATATACATACTAGGAAAACCAATGACCCCCGGGGCGGGGCCGATTTTGACCCCAGGGCTATAATTTGAACAATCTGGGTAGAGGTCTACTAGACAATGCCTAATGCAAAATATCTAAGCTCTAGGCCTTTTGGGTCTTTACAAGAAGGTATTTTAAGTTTTTACTATATGTACATACAGTGAAAATCAATGACCCCCGGGGCGGGCCGATTTGACCCCAGGGCTATAATTTGAATAATCTTGGTAGAGGTCTACCAGACAATGCTTTTTGCAAAATATCTAAGCTCTAGGCCTTTTGGGTCTTTACAAGAAGATTTTTTAAATTTATTCTTATAATTCCTTTTGGTTGCCATGGCAACCAGATTTCTGATTGGAATGAAATTCTTTGAACAACTTTGGAACCCAAGGATCAATCCTGCCAAGTTTGGTTGAAATTGGACTAGTGGTTTTTCAGAAGAAGATTTTTTAAGTTCACTATATAATCTATATAACACACACACAAACACACACAAACACACACAGGTGAATCGCTATATGCCACCGCATCGCAGATGCTGCGGTGGCATAAAAATTGCATTACATGTACACATACATAAGACATTCCAAAATAAGTTGTTTCCCTTTCACTATTTAACTATGATTTGATCAAAAGCCATGACCTCCTGGGCCTGCCAATATTGTCTCACAAAACTATGTATGGTCACTCCTGTGAATTTTGCTTGAAATCCCGACAGCAGCTTAGCCTGTGATAGCCAGACAGGATTTTTCAATTTTTAGCTCTGATAGCTATTTTGTGCAGAGATGTAGAACATGTCTGCAATATGCACAGCAAGGGATGGTAATATGATCACTCATGTGAAGTTTCATTGAAATCCTACCAGCAGTTTGACCTGTGCAAACAGGACAAGATTTTTCTATTCATAGCTCTGGTGGCCATTTTGTGCACAAAAAGGAACATGCTGGTGATATGCACAACTAAAGATGGTACTGATCATTCCTGTGAAGTTTCATTGAAAACCCACATGCAGCTGTGATATGCACAACTTAAAGGATAGTAATGAACACTCCTGGGCAGTTTTCATTTAAAACCCGCCAGCAGCTTGACTTGTGAAAGCTGGACAAGATTTTTCTATCTTTAGCTCTGGTGGCTATTTTGTGCAGTGAAGCAGAACAAGCCTGGGATATGCACAACAAGGGATGGTACTTATTACACCTGTAAAGTTTGGTTAAAATCCCACCAATAGTTTGACCTGTGAAAGCCAGACAAGGTTTTACTATTTTTAGCTCTGGCGGCCATTTTGTGCAGCGAGGTGGAACATGCTGTTGACGTGCACAACTGGTGATAGTACTGATCACTTATGTAAAATTTGGTTGAAATCCCACCAGTAGTTTTACCTGTGAAGGCAGGACAAACTTAATGAGGACAGACAGACCACTGGATGGACGGACGGTGAAGGCAAAAACAATATGTCTCCCAAAAATTTTGTGAGACTTAATAATCTTAATAAAGGTTCACCGGACAATCTTTCATGCTAAATATCTAAGCTAAAGCCCTTGCAGTTTTGCAGAAAAAGATTTTTAGCATTTTACTATATACATACAAGAGACAACACATTACCCTGGGGCAGGACCAATTTTGACCAAACGGCTATAATCTGAACAATGTTGGTACAGGTCCACCAGGCAATGCCGGATGCAAAATATCTATGCTCTATGTCTTGTGGTTTTTGACAAAATTGAAAAACAAAACTCTTATTATCCATTCTATTTGCAAAGGCAACCAGATTTCTGCATGGAATCAAATTCTTAGAACAACTTTGGAAGCCATTTACCAAAGAAACAATCCTGGCAAGTGTGGTTGAAATAGGACTAGTACTTTTTACAAGTTCACAATATAACACACACGCACACAAACACACACTTGACGGTGAATCGCTATATGCCAACGCATCACAGATGCTGTGGTGGCATAAAAATGATTGCTTAAAGAATATTACCAGAGATGTTTTAAAAATAGTTTTTATATAAGTTCCAACAAAATCTATGTTTGTCACCAATGTTTTGTTCGTTTCATTGATGTTGGTCGTCAATGCTTTGGTCGTTTCATTGATGTTTGTCACCAATGTTTTGGTCGTTTTATAGATGTTTGTTGTTTCATTGCACTCTCCTGTTCCATACTTCCTGCCATCATCTTTTTTCTCAGGGACATTCTATGATAAAATCTGAGTACATCTGGATCAGCACGGACACATTTCTTGTCAAAATCAAGCACCCGTAATCCTTCCAGGTTCTTGGCACGGGATAACGCTACATACGACTGGCCAGATTCAAACACCTTGGATAAAGAGATTTCCACACAGTCTAGTGTCATACCCTTCAAATATAACATAAAAAAGATGGTCTTTGTAAACATATGTACCTTTAATTTTTTCAAACTTATACCACAGAAAGATTTACTTAATCTTCCTTACAAGGTTGACAAAGTAGACTCCCTAAGACTATGTACTGCCCCAGAAACCCCAGCTGGGAAAACCTGGGCTGATCTTTTGCACTCACTACCATTTAACAATGTTTGCATTAAGCAATCCTCTTAGAACCACTTTCAAAAATATTAAGAAAACAAGAACGTGTTTGGTGAACATAAACGCCCCCAACCCAGATTCATTTCAGTAACAGGGCACTGTTATGTGTGAAAGCTAGTGTTGATTACAAGAATTTAATCAATATCGGTCACTAGACAATACTTCATGCAAAATGTATTTTTTAAGTATATTACAAACATGGTCCTAATTTCATAGCTGCAAATAAACAAGAGTGTTTACATGTGTCACCTCACGATAGCCTATTACATTCTGCAGCTACCTTGTAGCAGGAGACACAAAAAACATTAACCAGGCCAAAAAACTATTTTTATTAAAGGGCCGTTATTTGTAGTAATATGTTATATGCATAAGAACTTGAGCTATCCAATAAATCCTGTAAAGTTTAATTGAAATTGCATTATATGTAAACCAAACAAGAGCACCGCTAGGCGGAGCATTATATGCCCTAAAGTGTTTCTTTTTAGTAAGGATGAAGCATTTGTAAGGCATGGGAATTAAATAAAGTATTACCTTCTTCAAAAAGCAATCCTCCTTTATAGCTGAAGAACCATCATATATATATATATATATATATATATATATACATACATACAGTTGCGCTTTTCCAAAGCACCACCATAAAATTGTTATCTTGTAAGTAAAAATGCTATGATGGATGGACAGAAAGACGCCAGGGGTATAACATAATATAAGCAAATTTTTTAGGGCATATAACTAATGTACTCAATATAAGTGATTATCCTATGAAGTTTGACAGTTGTAAAACTGTTAACAATATTAAGGTCATTTGATATTGACCTTTGACCTTGTGACCCTAATATAGATGTGGATCTTTTATTCAATATAGGCAATCATCATAAAGTTTGAACACTGTGGGCCAAATGGAACTTGTGTTATACTCCAGAAAGCACAAATTTTCAGTGTTAAGGTCATTGTGACCATGACCTTTGATCTTATGACCCTTAAATCAATAGGGGTCATGTATTAGACATGGCTGTTCATCCTATAAAATTTTACAGCTGTAGGTTGATTAATACTTAAGTTATTGAGCGAAAACCGTTTTCAGTTTTAAGGTAATAGTGACTTTTACCTTTGACCTTGTGACCCAAAATCAATAGGGGTCTTCTACCCAATATGGACAATCATCCTATGAAGTTTGAACACTTTGGGCCAAATGGAATTAAGTTATGCCCCAGAAACCACAATTTTCAGTGTAAAGATCATTGTGACCCCAACCTTTGACAATATGACCCTCAAATCAATAGGGGTCATGAATTGGACATGGCTGTTCATCCAACAAAATTTTACAGCTGTAAGCTGATTAATACTTAAGTTACTGAGCTGAAACTGTTTTCAATTTTAAGGTAATAGTGACTTTGACATTTGACCTTGTGACCCAAAATCAATAGGGGTTTTCTACCTAATATGGACAATTATCCTATGAAGTTTGAATATTGTGGGCCAAATGGAACTTAAGTTATTCTCCGGAAACTATTTTCAGTTTCAAGGTAATTGTGACCTTGACCTTTGACCTTGTGACCAAAAAATCAATAGGGGTCTTCTACCCAATATGGGCAATCATCCTATAATGTTTGAATATTGTTGGCTAAATGGAACTTAAGTTATTCTCCGGAAACTATTTTCAGTTTCAAGGTAATAGTGACTTTGACCTTTGACCTTGTGACCCCAAAATCAATAGGGGTCTTCTACCCAATATGGACAATCATCCTATGATGTTTGAATATTGTTGGCCAAATGGAACTTAAAGTTATGCTCCGGAAACTGTTTTCAGTTTAAAAGTAATAGTGACCTTGACCTTTGACCTTGTAACCCCAAAATCAATAGGGGCCTTCTACCCAATATGGACAATCATCCTATGAAGTTTGAATACTGTGGGCTAAACGGAACTTAAGATATGTTCCGGAAACGAAATTGCTAACGGACGGACGGATGGACGCCAGGTGGTGTAACATAATATGCCCGAAATTCATTCGGGCATATAAAAATGTCAATGAGATGCACAACTAGACATGGTATTGATCGTTCCTGTAAAGTTCATGCAAATTTTGAACCCAGGGCTATAATTTGAACAATCTTGGTAAAGGTCCAATAGACAATGCTTTATGCAAAATATCTAAGCTCTATTCTTTGTGGGTATTTAGAAGAATTTTTTTTAATTCTTATAATTTCTTGCAGTGGCAACCAGATTCCTTCATAAAATCAAATTCTTTGAACAACTTTATAAGTCCTTCACCCAAGAACAATCCTGGCATGTTTGGTTGGATTTGGACTTAATGGTTTTTAGGAGAAGATTTTTTAAGTTTACTATATAATCTACAGAAAACACACAAGCATGCACGCACACACGCACACACACACACACACACACACAGAGGTGGCATAAAAAAACCACCTTTTATATTCAAGGGCAATTACTCTACCAAAAATCATTTAAGCGAAAAAATTGTGTATTATGCGCAAGCACTTGACCTACCAATCAATCGTGTAAAGTTTGGCTGAGATTGCATTAGTAGTATAAGAGGACTAGTCCTGACAATTGTATTAATACCTTTTTTATTCAAGGACCTTAACTCTGCCAAAAATCATTCAACCAGAAAACCCTTGTAAGATGCGCGTGTACTTGACCTACTAATTAATCCTGTAAAGTTTCATTGAAATTGCAGAAGTGGTATAAGAGGAATAGTCCAGACAAACTTAACAAGCAATTATCATAGTATTGCAAGCAATCCATAAGTCCCCTACCGGTTAGAACCCCAGCAACATTCTGATGGGCCATTGGCCATTCAAGCAACATTCTGATGGGCCATTGGCCATTCAATTTTACCAGTGAATGAATGACATAAATGAATTTAAATCTTTTGAGTTGTAAGTTTGTCTATATCATAGTAATGTGTTAAGTTTCCCTGCCTAGTAAGGAAATTATGTTTATACAACAGATAATCAAAAGGTCCATTTTTCTCAGGATGAATAAGTATAACTAATGTTTCAACTTTTCTCTATTTTAAGTAAATTTGTTGGAAAATATTTAAAGTGATCTCATGAAACAGTTTTTATGAACAGACAGATAGACTGAAGGTGACTTTAAAGTTATTTTTTTTAAACATCCCTATTACCAAAATATAACATATTTTAATACAAAATTCTTAAAGAAGAGATAACTCTTGAAAAAACGATGCTAGATTTATGAACATTGATGTGAGTTTTACTTTAAGTTTAAAGATACCATTTATAGTCACAAAGAAGATAAGTAAAAAAATAACAATTTTCAAATATAACATTAACTATAATGTATAGTAAGTAACAAAGATGAAAATTAAAAACAAAATTATAATGTAGGTGTTGATAATGAATGTTTATTTTGAATTTGAAGAAAATCCATGAAGAAATAAGAAATTTAAGAATGAATAAGAAAAATTCAAAGTTTAAGGAGGAGATAATTCTGGAAATATGGATCTAGATTTATAAACTTGTCATATTATTATGATGTGGCATTTTAAAGTAAATCCTATAAGGAATGAAGAAGTTGGAGTAAAAAATACCAATTTCTCGAAAAAAATCTAAGTTCAAGGGGAACATAATTCTAGAAATATTCTTGCTAGAGTATTAAACCTTCTCACAAATGTTGAGTGATTGTTTGTTTATTTTGGGTTTTACGTCACACCGACACAATATAGGCCATTTGGCGACGTTCCAGCTTTTACTGGTGGAGGATAACCTCAGGTGCCCTTCCGTGCATTATTTCAGGCACAAACGGGCACCTGAGTAGAACCACCGACATTCCGTAAGCTAGCTGGATAGCTTCCTCACATGAAAGAAATCAAATTCCCTGTCCGGATTCGAACCCACAGCGGTGAGGGGCAAGTGGTTTAGAGTCAACGACCTTAACGTAATAATATGAAACATATATATGCAGTTGGTAGTAGATACATTAAGAAATAGAGAAGTTATTTAAAAAATACAACATACATACATAAGTTCAAGGGAGGTAATTCTGATAAATTTTGTGCTAGAGTTGTAAACCTTGTCACATATCATGAGGTTGATGACCAGAAACTTATATTTAAAGTTTGAAGTAAACACCTTAAGAAACAAGATATGTTTGTAAAACATGTATGCCCCCTATGGGCAGCCAATTAGTCATGTGATCAGGTTATTATGCATGACTTCTGACCCAGTGAACAAAAAATTAATAAGGGTTATCTACTGGTCATGACTAGTCACAAGGTAATAATTATTGTGACCCCATAGGTTGTGTGCAGCAATTTAAGTTATTACAAATCTTACAAAAAAAAATGCATAAATTTTATGAATCATGACCATAGGCCTCATTAATGACAGCCAAGTTGCATAAGACCTTCAAAAGTGTATACCAAAAGCATTTTTAGTTTAATATAAAAATATCAACCAAGGCAACTTGAGTTGTTGAGTTATTGGTCAGAAACCATCTTAAAGTACAAGGTCAATTTGACACTGACCCCAAAATCAATAGGGGTCATCTACTGGTCATGACCAATCACCATACCAAGTTTGAAGTTCCTAGGCCTAAGCGTTCTTTAGTTATTGATCGGAAACCGTTTTTACCTACAAGGTCAATGTGACCTTTACCTTTGACCCCTTGACCCCAAAATCAACAGGGGTCATCTACTGGTCATGACCAATCAACATACCAAGTTTAAAGTTCCTAGGCATAAGCGTTCTTTAGTTATTGATCGGAAACCGTTTTTACCTTCAAGATCAATGTGACCTTGACCTCTTGACCCCAAAATCAATAGGGGTCATCTACTGCTCATGACCAATCATCATACCAAGTTTGAAGTTCCTAGGCCTAAGCGTTCTTTAGTTATTGATCGGAAACCGTTTTAACCTACAAGGTCAATGTGACCATGACCTTTGACCCCTAAATCATTAGGGGTCATCTACTGGTCATGACCAATCACCATACCAAGTTTGAAGTTCCTAGGCCTAAGCGTTCTTTAGTTATTGATCGGAAACCGTTTTTACCTACAAGGTCAATGTGACCTTGACCTCTGACCCCTTGACCCCAAATACAATAGGGGTATCTACTGGTCATGACCAATCACCATACCAAGTTTGAAGTTCCTAGGCCTAAGCGTTCTTTAGTTATTGATCGGAAACTGTTTTTTCTTACAAGGTCAATGTGACTTTGACCCCTTGACCCAAAATCAATAGGGGTCATCTACTGGTCATGAACAATCACAATAACAAGTTTGAAGTTCCTAGGCCTAAGCGTTCTTTAGTTATTGATCGGAAACTGTTTTTACTTACAAGGTCAATGTGACCTTGACCTTTGACCCCTTGACCCAAAATCAATAGGGGTCATCTACTGATCATGAACAATCACAATACCAAGTTTAAAGTTCCTAGGCCTAAGCATTCTTTAGTTTTTGATCGGAAACCGTTTTTACTTACAAGGTCAATGTTGACCTTTGACCCCTTGACCCCAAAATCAATAGGGGTCACCTACTGGTCATGTCCAATCACCATACCAAGTTTGAAGTTCCTAGGCCTAAGCGTTCTTTAGTTACTGATCGGAAACCGTTTTTACTTACAAGGTCAATGTGACCTTGACCTTTGACGCCTTGACCCGAAATCAATAGGGGTCATCTACTGGTCAAGACCAATCACCATACCAAGTTTGAAGTTCCTAGGCCTAAAGGGCTCTTTAGTTATTGATCGGAAACCGTTTTTACTTACAAGGTCAATGTGACCTTGATCTTTGACCCCTTGACCCAAAATCAATAGGGGTCATCTACTGATCATGAACAATCACAATACCAAGTTTGAAGTTCCTAGGCCTAAGCGTTCTTTAGTTACTGATCAGAAACCGTTTTTACTTACAAGGTCAATGTGACCTTGACCTTTGACCCCTTGACCCAAAATCAATAGGGGTCATCTACTGGTCAAGACCAATCACCATACCAAGTTTGAAGTTCCTAGGCCTAAGGGTTCTTTAGTTATCACTCGGAAACCATTTGACCTACGGGACCAGAAAAAATCAATTGGGGGGGGTCTTCTAGGCTGAGCTAAAGACATGGACCTCCTTCAAATAACATCCTTTGAAACCTTTTACCTAAAATGAATCATCCTTTGAAATTTGAATATTGTGGGCCAAATGGAACTTAAGTTATGCTCAAGAAACTGTTTTCAATTTCAAACTAATAGTGACTTTGACCTTGTGACCCTAAAATCAAGAGGGGTCTTCTGCCCAATATAGACAATTATCCTATGAAGTTTGAATATTGTGGGCCAAATGGAACTTAAGTTATGCTCCGGAAACTGTTTTCAGTTTTAAAGTTATAGTGACCTTGACCTTTGACCTTGTGACCCCAAAATCAAATGGGGTCTTCTAACCAATATGGACAATCATCCTATGAAGTTTGAACACTGTGGGCCAAATGGAACTTAAGTTATGCTCAAGAAACTGTTTTCAGTTTTAAGGTAATAGTGACCTTGACCTTTCACCTAATGACCCCAAAATCAAAAGGGGTCTTTTTCCATATATGGACAATCATCCTATGAAGTTTGAACACTGTGGGCCAAATGGAACTTAAGTTATGCTCCGGAAACTGCTTTCAGTTTTAAAGTTATAGTGACCTTGACCTTGTGACCCCAAAATCAAAAGGGGTCTTCTAACCAATATCGACAATCATCCTATGAAGTTTGAACACTGTGGACCAAATGGAACTTAAGTTATGCTCAAGAAAATGTTTTCAATTTCAAACTAATAGTGACTTTGACCTTGTGACCCCAAAATCAAGAGGGGTCTTCTGCCCAATATAGACAATCATCCTATGAAGTTTGAATATTGTGGGCCAAATGGAACTTAAGTTATGCTCCGGAAACTGTTTTCAGTTTTAAAGTTATAGTGACCTTGACCTTTGACCTTGTGACCCCAAAATCAAATGGGGTCTTCTAACCAATATGGACAATCATCCTATGAAGTTTGAACACTGTGGGCCAAATGGAACTTAAGTTATGCTCAAGAAACTGTTTTCAGTTTTAAGGTAATAGTGACCTTGACCTTTCACCTTGTGACCCCAAAATCAAAAGGGGTCTTTTTCCATATATGGACAATCATCCTATGAAGTTTGAACACTGTGGGCCAAATGGAAGTTAAGTTATGCTCCAGAAACTGTTTTCACTTTAAAGGTCATAGTGACCTTGACCTTTGACCCCAAAATCAATAGGGGTCTTCTACCCAATATGGACAATCATCCTATGAAGTTTGAACACTGTGGGCCAAATGGAACTTAAGTTATGCTCGGTAAACTGTTTTCAGTTTTAAGGTAATAGTGACCTTGACCTTGTGACCCAAAAATCAATTGGGGTCTTCTTCTCAATATGGACAATCATCCTATGAAGTTTGAACACTGTTGAACTTAAATTATGCTCCGGAAACCAAATTGCTAACGGAAGAGGGACGCCAGGGGGTATAACATAATATGCCCAAAATTCTTTGGGCATATGAAAAGAGTAAAAATTCAAATCAGAAATCTTGAAAGTCAGTCAATTTGTTGCCATAGCAACTAGAATTTTCAACATAGGAAGAAAAGAAAAAGATGTGCATAATTTCCAGACTGTCATCTACCCATATTTCAAGTTTCATAAAAATATTTTCAGTACTTTTGAGTTATCACTGGATCCAGTTTATGAGTAAAATTTGCCATATTTTCAGTCTATTTGTTGCCATAGCAACCAGAATTTTCAACATAGGAAGAAAAGAAAAAGACGTGCATAATCTCCATACTGCCATTTACTTATATATCAAGTTTCATAAAAATATTTTCAGTACTTTTGTGTTATCATGGGATCCAGTTTTGTGGACGGACGGACTGACAGATAGACAGACAGACAGACGTAAACCTAAAGTCCCCTCCGGTTAAACCAGTAGGGGACTAAAAAAGGGCAATCAGTGATCAGGTGTCGCCTCATGAAAGCTAATTCATGTTGCAGCTACTGTGTAGCAGGAGACACATAAATCATTAACAGTGCAGAACGGAGTTTTTATTCAAGAGCCATAACTCAACTAAAAATCCTTCAACCAGAAGACCTGTGAAATATGCTCTACTTGAGCTACCGATCAATCCTGTAAAGATCCATTGAAATTGCATAAGTGGTATAAGCAGTTTCTAAATTATAATCATTAAAGAGCCAAAACTCTAACAAAAATCATTAAACCGAAAATATGTTGATGAGATGCACAACAAGACATGGTATTGATCATAACTGTAAAGTTTGGATGAAATTGCACCAATAATTTCTGAGGAGTAGTCGAAACAATCGCCTGTGTAGCTGGCAACACAAAACAAGAGAGCCTAATATCGGTCACCTGAATATTGATACTCTCCACGACAAGGAAAAAGTAATATTATAAACCATGGTTCATACAGACCTCTAATACATAAATTTAGGGCCTTTTTTTTACTAAATTTAGGGCTCAATTTTCATGACATAAACAAGTTCTTTGTTAATCATACAACAGTTAACTCCTTTAAAGTGATCTCCAGTGACCTTCAACAAGTAATACTACCTAAATTCAATATATTAAGTTACTTAACAATGTGCTGCATTAATTATTGCCATGATGATGGGCTAATACAGATCATTAGATGTACTATTTATGACTCATGCAAACAGTTTAGACCCAGATCAGGCCCAACATTTATGTGGGCTTTGATATGAGATCCAACAAGATTGCATTTGTGAAAAATGCTATGCCACCGCATTAATACAACACTAAATAGCAATGTAGAAACAAAATTTTTTTGTTTCAATAAAAATGAAGATTGCCATAGTGATAGATCACTGACCTATCTAATTCTTATTATCAGATTAGTGGTTAAATCTATTGTTATTCAAACAAGATTGCATTTGAGAAAAATGCTATGCCACCGCATGGTTCAAATTTCATAGCTGTACATCAAAGGACAAGAAAGTAGGTCACATCATCAAAATCTAGGTCAAAGTTCAATTTTACAACTAAAACTGTGCACATGGTCAAAATGTCATTGCTGTACATCAAAGGACAAGAAAGTAGGTCACTGTCCCCTTGGGCAAGGCATAATTTTGACCAAAGGGTTTAATAACAATCTTGATACAGGTCCACCAAACAACATTTCAAGTCAAATATCTAAGCTATAGCTTTCTCCCATTCAGAAAACATTTGTTTTATTTTCTGTTTTTACTACGTGTACAAAATGAGAATCACTGCCCCCGGGCAGGGCCAATTTTTGACATTTGAACAACTTTGGTAGAGGACCTATAGATGATATTATATATCAAACATCAAAGCTCTATGCCTTGAACCTTCAGACAAAAATTTTTTTTTTCACTATATGTACATAATGAAAATCAATGACCCCCGGGGCGGAACCAATTTTGACCCCAGGGCTATAATTTGAACAATCTTGCTAGAGGTTCACTACACAATGTTTCATGCAAAATATCTTAACTCTATCCTTTGTAAATTTAGAGAAGATGATTTTTTAAGTTTTAACTATATACATATAAGATAAATCTTGGGCTCCCAGGGGCGGGGCTAATTTTGACACAAGAGGCAAAATTTGAACAACTTTGGTAGAGTACCTTTAGATGATATTATTTAACAAATATTAAAGCTCTAAGCCTTGTACCTTCAGACAATAAGATTTTTTTATTTTTTACTATATGTATAAATTGAAATCAATGACCCCGAAGGCGGGGGCAATTTTGACCCCAGGGCTATTATTTGAACAATCTTGCTAGAGTTTTACAACACAATGTTTCATGCAAAATATCTAACCTCTAGCATTTGTCAATTGCTAGAAGAATTTTTTTTTAAGTTTTTACTATATACATATAAGGAAAACCAATGACCCCTGGGGCGGGCCGATTTTGACCCCAGGGCTATAATTTGAACAATCTGGGTAGAGGTCTACCAGACAATGCCTTATGCAAAATATCTAAGGGTCTTTACAAGAAGATTTTTTAAATTTATTCTTATATCTTTTTGGTTGCCATGGCAACCAGATTCATGGAATGAAATTCTTTGAACAACTTTGGAAGCCCTTCACCCAAGGAACAATCCTGCAAAGTTTGGTTGAAATTGGACTAGTGGTTTTTCACAAGAAGATTTTTTAAGTTCACTATATAATGATTAATCTATATAACACACACACAAACACACACACACAGGTGAATCGCTATATGCCACCGCATCGCAGATGCTGCAGTGGCATAATAAAAGATCAGAGTAGGAATATATCAATGCAATTGAGTCTTATGAATTTGGTGGTGAAGGTCATATTTCACATGGCCAAAATTCCATGACTGTACATCAAAGAACAACACAGTAAGACACTTTGTCAAAATCCAGGCCAGGTGATCAAAATTCACTTTACATCTTAATCTGTGCACATGGTTCAAAGTTCATAGCTGCACATCAAAGGACAAGAAAGTAGGTCACATCATCAAAATCTAGGTCACCTGATGTCAAAGTTCAATTTTACAACTAAAACTGTGCACATAGTCCAAATTTCATGGCTGTACATCAAAGGTACAAGAAAGTAGGTCACTGTCCCCTTGGGAGAGGCAAAATTTTAACCCAAGGGTTTAATTCAAACAATCTTGATACCGGTCCACCAAACAACATTTCATGTCAAATATCTAAGCTGTAGCTTTCTCCAATTCAGAAAACATTTGTTTTAGTTTCTGTTTTTACTATGTGTGCATAATGAAAATCAATGCCCCCGGTCAAAATTTGACCAACTTTGGTAGAGGACCTATGGATGATATAATAAAGCAAACAGCAAAGCTCTAAGCCTTGTACCTTCAGAAAAAAAGATTTTTAATTTTTTACATAGTGAAAATCAAAGACCCCGGGGAAGGGTCAATTTTGACACCAGGGCTATAATTTGAACAATCTTGATAGAGGTTTACTACACTAAGTATCATGCCAAAT